TGAATCAAGTGGCTTCATATTCTTTCTTCCACCAACTTTACCTGATGCAAAAAATACACATAAAAAAAAAAATCATTGTAAAGGAAGGGGTATTTGGGAAAATGTGAGGGGTATCCTCTGCAAAACAAAACAAAAAATATCCTTTGCAAGATTTGATCTTTAGTATCCTCTGCAAAACAAATAAAAAATATATATCAAAAAATTAAATTTTTATAGTTTTATATTATAATTATGCCTAGAGTATTGCATACCTAAGAACCATTTGTTAGCTCTACAACACTTTTTGAATCTGATGTTGTATCTTGATATAATAAACAAATAACTAAAAGTAGGTTGCTATTTCTTAAAAAGTAATTCAACTTTGGCATATTATAGCTTACCTTCTCTGTTGGTGGCAACTGCAATGAGTTCTTTCACGGCTATATCAGAAACAAGATAAAACTACAGAAAAAAAAATGTAGGTTAACTCAGCAAATGATAAACCAATAGTTGGTAATTTACAATCTTTCTTTCATCATACAATCTTTATTCTTTAGGTATAATGTATTTATTAATCCAACAATATTGACATTATGCATAACTTGAATTCAAATATAAATTGGACAAGATATAATGTCTTTTTTAAGCAAATAGTTCAATATGCTACCCCATATCGTTGACTATTAAAGAAATTAGGGCCAAATCTAACAGTAGAATGTTTATGACAATTAAGGCCTCATTTGGAAGCCAACAACAGTAATACAAGCTAGAAAACAGGGAACAGGTGGTGTTTTTAAGTTATAATTTTGAATAGAAAAGGCAAAACTTCTATAACAACTACTAAAGCAACTGAAGTTAATATCATGATGCCTTCCTCAGATCCTGATGCTGATCTGGTATGCTTGCTTCCAATTTATTTTTCCCACTGCCACTGCCAAGTGTTAGCAGCTTCTCCACGTGTTCGAATACAACACAAAGCCGTTTTACATCTTGGATTATTTCCATATCACCCGGTAGCTTGTTTGTTGCCAATGCAATAAGTCAGATTAAAAAAATGACTACTTTACCCTTGTGTCAAAAAATTGTAAATAAGACATTACACATACCTTGCAAAGGCTTCAATGCAGAAACAACGGTGAAGTATAATTGGTCGATTTTTATTCTCATAAGCTAGTCTGGTTAAGAGTGTCAGCTGCAACTCTGAAAGCAGTACACACCATTTGATCCAGTAATTGATGTGGTCTTACTATTTCCAGATAATGAAGTATATGTATAGATATTGGATGATGTTAGTTTCATTGATCATGGAGGGTAAATGTGGAAAAATAAAAAAAATGTACCTTTTTTCTTCTCTATTTGGGTCCATAAAATCATCAAACAACAAAAAGTTAGGGGAATCATCAGAGATAAAACACCATTTTATGTAGTACCTAAAGATAAGATGTCCTTCTCCAACTGCCCAAAGAAGCTCTAACAAAAATTATACACAATTTTCAGCAAAGAAATTCATTTTATAAAGCCTAACGCAGGGTAACACAGCAGCAAAAAAGAAAGAAAACCCAATACTCAAAGATGATAATTGGATGTTAAAAGACTGAACATGACAGGAATATAAAGTGGTAAAAGACTGAAACAAATAGAAGAGATGACATGATATGAAGAAAAGAAACTTGAAAAAAAGTAGTAAAGCAATTTAGACATGTTTTCCATATTTTGAATCACTGAATGACTTACTTCCTCAATCTACAATAGTAATAGGTCAGTTAAAGGGCACACTAAATAGCAATACTTCTTTTTAAATCTAGAGAATTTATTAAACTTGTGAACATAAATTGAAACCAAATAAATGGGGAAAAGAAGAACCAAACCCCATATCCTTTTGCTGCTGACCTGGCATGTTTTCATCAGCGCTAACAGAAGAATCCTTGACATTTTTATCACTAAGAGAGGGTTTTTATTTGTCCTTTTGAGCTAAAGTTCTGACAATCGTTGGAATTGGTGGTTTTCTAGTAGATTGGAGAGGATTGGATTTAGCCTTTAGGAATATATATATACATATTTTATATAAAAAAAATTAAGAAACCAAATTAATGGGGAAAAGAGATAGTAGCTAACCTCAGAAGAATGGAGTCCTTTCAAACTAGACCACTCAATCTACTTGTCATCCTTCCAGACAAGAGTTGGCCTCACATGCCATGACCTAACAATTGATGCCTTTGATTGAGCTGGAAAGGGAAAAAAGGTAAAAACTCAACACACTTTATAAATTTTGAAGGAAAAGTCAGATAACAATACCTACCAGGAAACTGGACAGTTAAAGAAGTCAAATCAATCTTATTTGTGTCCATAACAATTGCTTCATGCCAGCTACAAAAAACAGTAAAAAAATAGAGTTTGTGATGATTAATAAGTATTAACGATTGAAAATGTAATGAGTTGAGTTAAATGGTTACCTATCTTGTACCCAAACATCAACTTGATCTCCACTACTCCAAGCATAATCTAAAAGACTGTTATGCCCCTCTTTCTACTCCTTTCAAACTGCATGGTGGTCACATCAATATTCAATGCTCTTGTGCTCCAAGCTAATACACAGTTACCATCATTTGATAGAGAGATACAGTTCCATCATTCCGGATGTCAAATGTCCGTACAGTTCCGTCAACACTTCCAGCAATAATCTCAGTTTTTGTTAAATAGATAGACATAACGTTGTCTAGAAAGGTGTCAATGATCTGTGAATCAATTAAAACTATCATCAGCTTTTGATAATATAAATATATATAAAAAAAACTTAGTACAAACGTAGATGTAGAAAAGGGAAAGGGAAAGGGAAAGAAAGCTAAACCCGAATTGGCTCAGTGCTGTGAGATCTACAGTCCCAGGCACGTAAGGAACGATCATACCCTGCTGATACAACAACAGATGAATATTCATTGAACTTTACTGCATTCACCTGCACAAAAATGGTGTTATGATTGTGAAATTATAAATATGTGTTATGTGATTGATAAATTGGTTTGTTAGGGAAATTACACACCTCACTGTCGTGACCTCGAAACTTTTTGATCACACGCCCAGTCGATTGGAAGAAGGAGGTTCAATTCAAATGATACTAACTACTCATTAGAACCAGCATACACGAGTGGTAAAAGTGTAGAAGAAGGGGAGCCTTTTGGCTGAAATAAAGATTCACCATCAAATTCCTTATTATTTCCTAGTTTTTTGTGGCTTTGATTTTTCTATCAGTTGTGCTAGCACCAATTGTTAGAACCCATGGAGCTATATTTGTTGCAGTGCCATTGAACGGACCTGAGTTCCCTGTTGCACAACTCACAAATATTCCTTTTTGGATAGCTGCAAATGAGGCTATTGCAATGTTGTCTTGAAAAAAAGTCATGTTTTCTTCTCCAATAGAAATTGATATCACATCAGCTCCATCAGCTACTGCAACATCAAGCCCGGTCAAGATGTCACTCTCTGGCCAATCTAGACCAAAACATACTTTATAAACCGCCAGATGAGCATAAGGTGCCATCCCGACGGCTAATATTTCACTCTCTGGGCAATCTGGACAAAAAAGTAGACCATCGGTTCATTTTTTGTGATGGAAGTTTCGTTTGAGCAATTCAACGAACAGTTGGCATGCATTGTTCGAACAAAAAAATTCAAAAAAATATAACAGGTGATAGTTACACCAAATCATCCACCATGGTTGATTAATCGATAGACCGACTCTCTATCTCAATTTAGTGGTAATTACAAGGAGAGTAAAATAAAAAGGAAAGGGGGGAAGTGGTAGCATAGGAAAGAAAAAAGTTCAGAACTTTAAAATCATGTCTACGTACCTTCAAAATTGAAGCCAAAAAACTCAAAATTGTTGATTCGTGGCTGGAATCGTTGTTGTGGTGCGATGTTGGAATGGTGGAGTCCGAGAGAAAACACAAATTATGATGGTTAGCTATCGTTGTTGGTAATGCATGATTCATCAAAAGCCCTAGTTCTTCGTTCAATCGTCTATTTTGTGAAAGAAGATATTACCATTGCAAATGCGTTATGTCTGATTAGGGTTTGCATAGAGAAGGAGTGAAAGTCGATCGTAGAGGAAGGGGTTTGTAGATAGAAGGAAGGGAGAGAATGAAATCGATATGGCGGGTGTAGAGAGTACAGAGGAAGAGGAAGGCAGATGTTCAAAATTTTGGGGGAAGGAGAGACGAGAAGGTTGAGGTTTTGATTAGGGGTTGTTCAACAGGTAGCTTCGATTGACGGTTGATGAGTCGTAGTTGTCGATCAGCGCTACAATCGAAAGGAGTTGCAGTCACTGAACCATTTAACGCGAGGATCGGGTTTGAGACTAGAAGAGGCAACGAAGGATTGGAGGCAATGGATGTGGGTGAGGGTGGAGACGAGGGAGAAGAAGGCGGGGGTTTAAAAAATTTGGGGATTTCATTTTCCCTCTAAGGAGAAGTGAGAAGCGCGTTTCTTAAAAAAATATAAAACGACATTCATAGACGACGCACCTTTTAGGTAAAGTGCCCTCCGTGTTTTTTATTTTTTTACATTAGACACTAATTTAAGGGCACGCAATAATGCGCGACCTAAATCCTTAAATTTTTTGAAGAGATGACACTTATTTAACGTTACTCTCTTTTGCGTAACTTATATCTCCGAGTGTCGTTGTTTGCGCGTCGTAAAAGGGTCTTTTTCTTGTAGTGATATGTTCGGGTGTTTCAGGCACATCTTCTTCTTTGGAAGATTGCGTTAGAATAACTAACTGTCTCTTCTTTGTATTCTTCTTTTTCTTTGAAATCCTCTTGGCCATATCTTCAGCTCTTCGTTTCTTTGAGAGAGGAGAAAATGGAGCTGGGACTTTGCGCATAATAACCCCTTGATGAGTAACATGAGGTTTGCGAACCACACTCGAAGTTAGAGAACCGCCATACATCAGCTTCAATCTTTGAAAAAATCCAGGCTTGGAAGGAATTGTAACTGAAGTTGGTTCTGAAACAATAGGTTTAATGGGTACAATTGGCTTTACCACAACTTTCGAAACATGCTCATTTGGCTTCGTGGTGTTCTTAGGAGACTTTGATTTCTTCGTTTTTTGAACAGTTGGCTCAAGATTTATGATCACAGTCTTCTTCGTTGTCCTGTATTTATTTGAAGGACCTGCATCTTCTTCTGTTAAAAACTTCATGGTTTCAACTTTGGGATCAATTGTTGTCACATATTCGATAAGCACAACATTCGTCGAATCAACTCTTTTCGACATTGCATCAAGAATGTGTGCAACATGTGAGAAAATTGCAGCATCATCTAAAACTTCCTTTAAAAATGATATTTCATAAACTTAGCAGTTTCCTCTTCATCTGATACTTGAATCCCTTCTTTATCATAGAAATACCTCAAAATAAGACTCCAATATCGTGCACATGAAATTCCTTGCACGACATTAGTGTTTTCGAAACTCTTCTGAAACTCCTTCCATAATTGTGTAGAGTAGTTAACTAGAATATCATAATATATCCCTAAAACCATAGCAGAAACCTCCTTTTCTTCCTTTTTCAAGACCCATACTACAACCAATCAAGCGACGTAAAAACATTCCAAAAAGAAAGTTCCAGACTTTCGGAAGACCGGACTTCTTAAAATCACTTATCTTGGTGAGTGGGGGTTGATGACCCATCTCATTGAACATATGATTCACTTGTGAAAACGAAAGAGTAGTGAATGGTGGTGCATTTGGAATTTCCAGAATTTGACAAAATAACATATTCATTAATCTAAACTTCTTATCATTTACCAAATTAAAGGTCATAACATCTAGGGCTTAGCTGTAAGTTGCAGTTGATCCTGCTATTGAGATCCAGGAAAGAGGAACAACAACATAATTAAACATCACTGTAGAAAGAATAGAAATCTTTAGAGAAACCACCAACATCTTCAAATCATCGTGGTAAAGAGATACATCTGCTTCAACGTGATAGTTGGTTCCGTGTATCTTGATGATTGGTTGAGATGTAAAATCTTCTATGGTTTGTGATGGTGCATTAACATTAGTTTGAGCAGCCATGAGTGGGGTTTTGGAATTTTTTGAAGAACAATTCAATTTTGTAGAGAAAATTTAGGAAATTTTCTTTTGAAAGTGTAAATTGATAAAGAACTCTTTAATCACCTTTTATATGTATCCATGAGGTTTGAATTTGAAGCGGGATATGCATTTAATGAAATCTATCGTGGCACCTTAAAACTCGCACCACTATTCCGATAAAGTAGCCACGCATGAAAAAGTAACTATCACTTCTCCTTGAAAACCGGATAGAATACAAGACGTCACTTCTAACAGCATATTTATTAATCCCAATGGAATATGAACCGTCAGCAACCTTCGGATGGAGGCTAGGCACTTTCACTTTTGGGATTTAAAGCGAAGTCATGTGCCAGACTTTCGAAATCATCAGTCTAAGTTGGTATTACTCAGAACCTCAAGGATTTTGTGAGTGCAGTGTGCCAAAGAAAAAGATAAGAATCAAACAAAGATAAACTTTGGATTTGTGATGTCAAAAACATTTTGACATGAAAGTAGTTAAACTCCAGTCAAAAGTTATTTCGTTAATTATCAAGAGAGATAATCAACTACTTGTATATTTTCCCGTGAATTACAATCGAAAACTTATTGAGAAGTTTTGAAGGGCTTCTTTTTCAAGGCTTCATGGGTGGATACACGATTTCGTTACATATCATCCAAAACATAATGTGATAAATTGTAACAGAACTCACTTGTTTGACCAGTGTAGTCAGTGACAAGTATGCTTTGAATTAAATTTGAAAGTGAATTAGAAATCAAATGAAACTCTCATGGAAATCATATTCATGGAAAATTTTGTGGTGGATCCTGTTGGGTAACAAACATTGTGGGTTTCGATAGTTTGATCAAGATCACTCATACGAAATGAATATGATTTGGAGTTTCGAATCTAGGTACAGAAAAAAAAAAGTTTCGTTAAAAACTGGAACAAAGTTCCCTATCAATTCCTTAAAATCTAGAGAATTAGGTTTTACTTTCATCACAGTCTCATGATGTCAGATCATAAACACAGCTTTTTTATATGTCTAAGTCTCGATCGGTTTAATCAAAGACCTCTTGGATATATGTCTTCGTGTGTGATCGTGTAAGAATGTTTAAATGAAAAATATTGGTTTAAGCATTCGTGTGTACCTCTGTTATTATGGACAAAACAGTAAACTCTTAACTCATGTGAGAAGAGTCAGGTGGCTCATGTGAGTAATGTGAATATAAGCATGTCTTGGGAAGAAATTTCCGTATGAAATATTTCATTAAGACTTTCGTTAAACACACATAGAGTCATTCGAGGCTTTGGTCAACATGATGCAACATGCTTCTAGGGACACCTTAAGTAGTTCAAGAGTTTCGAAATATTTACCTAGCCCTAGAACTGCAAGCATTAACTATTGAGATTCATATTTGTTATCTGAAACAAAACACTGAGACAAAACAATACAAAACACAATATTTTTTTGATTTTTGATTTTTCGAAAATAAAATAGAAAACAAATAAAAATCTTTTTGTTGTTTTAGAATTTTTCGAAAAGAAATGACAAAACAAATGAAAAATCTTTTGTTGTTTTTGAATTTTTCGAAAAGAAAAGACAAAACAAATGAAAAATCTTTTTGTTGTTTTTGAATTTTTCGAAAAGAAAATCAACTTACTAAAATATTTAAAATGTACCAAACACACAAATTTTTCAGCTCCAATTTACGAAGACGAAGGGTATCGAAGCGTTGACTATGAACAGTAACCTTTGACTCTAACAACTTTTCAGACATCGCTACTCTTTCGAACCAGAGCCCCCTTCGACCATTCCAAGTCCACCTAAAATTCTCATAAATGATTTTTCATCTAACACTTTTGTGAAAATATCATCCAATTGATAAGTGGTTTTCACAAAATGCACTTCAATATTACCATCCTCTACATGATCTTTTATGAAATTGTAACAAAGAGTAATATGCTTAGTCTTCGAATGTTGCACAAGATTATGAAAAATACGAATTGCACTTTAAGAATCACAATATAATGGAATTCTCTTCATGTTTATTACATAATTATGCAATTGACTTTGAATCCAAATTATTTGTGATGTGCAAGCAGCAACAACAATATATTCTGCTTCAGCAATCGAAATTGAAACACATGTTTGCTTCTTCGATTGCCAGCTCACCAATTTTCCATCAAGTAATTAACATCCTCCACTCATGCTTTTTCGATCAAGATTGCAACCTCCCAAATTAGCATCTGAGAAAGCTTGAATAAAGAAACCTGTTTTCGAAGTATACCATAATCCTAGTGAAATTGAGCCTTTGAGATAACGAAAAATATTCTTGACTACAGTAAGCTGTGGTTCTCATGGATTTGATTGGTACCTAGCACAATTACACACAAAAAACATGATATCAGGTCTACTTATTGTGAGATAAAGTAACGAACTTATCATGCTTCGATAAAGAGTTAAGTC